CACAGACACAGACACAGACACAGACACAGACACACACACACATATATATATAGCATGATTTGAACGAACGGTATATCAAGTTCGAAACAGATCGAGAATATGTATTACCTCTTATACACTCATACTAAAACGAGATTGCATATTATAGATTTAATCCATATTGCACATATTGCCGCGAGTATCGCGTGTAGACAGGAAATGCTACTTGAACCACAGAGTAGCTTTGTTGCATTTGCAAAGCAGTTGATTCTGCATACATTTGTACAAACCTGGAATTTAAATGCAGTAGGTTTATATTATATGCGCAAGATTCCTCGATTGATATTCGTATCTTCTGTGTACTAGGCTACGTATGTTTAAGTACCGGTATCCAACCGACTGCCCAATGCTTTCGACGCACACGAATATTATTACAAACATATGTGACGATACTTTCACTGAGACAAGAGTAAAAACATTCGAAAAAGAGATACACATATGAAATTCTTGAATTTATTATTGTATCCAATATTCACATTTACTCCACAGACAGAGTAGTTATGTATGGACTCATGGCTAACAATGCAATGCTATTTTCTCTCTCGAACAATGTAAACCTTTGGAAGTCTCGAAAAACCTCTCACAAACGTCACCTGTTCGTCGCAAACTTGTGCTCCTATCATCGCAAATATACCCATTCAGAGCTACCACTCATCTATACCTTCCTACATCATCCAGTTCATTTTTCGCAGTGTTTTAGGAAACACATGACAGAATGTGCACACATGTATGTAGGTTTGCGTTCGGGGTTGCTTGTAAACGTCTGTGTTCGTGTGCGTCGTTTATCTACTTATTATATGCAGAATACGTGTTCAAGCTCCATGGTAACGCAGTCGTAAACCCATAACAAGCGCACCCACCGATAAAGCCGCGCTCATCACACTTAGCGTAGACAACAGAGTAGGACCAGGCACAAGGCTGTGTTGGACGTAAAAGAGGCTGTGATTAGGCCAAGTGGAAACTTCAATGTGTAATCACAGTACTTAAAACAGCAAGGTGCAGTGGGTTCACCCGCAGAGAGAAACGAGCGCCCAACAAATAACGAACAAATATTTACGACACAATCTACGTAATATTCGTTTTTATATATATTTGGTACAAAACACCTACAGAGCATGCTAAATACAAAACACCTACAGAGCATGCCAAATACAAAACACCTACAGAGTATGCAATGTAGTAAGTGCAGAGCATTTCGCTCCGCCCGATGCATCGACAACACTTGTGCCTATCGTATTTTTGTTGTCTTGTCTAATGCGCACTTTTGTGCAGGATGAGACATGTTTTGTACAACATACGAGGGAGAGTTCTAATGCACAGTTCAGTATTTGTACACCATATCAAAATGATGTGTTGGGAGTGCATCTGTAATGCGAGTATATTCACACACATCAACCCGATTCAAATGCGAGTGCACACACACACTAGCCTAGTGAAAAATAAAGCACAAACAGATGCATGGAAAACAAATACTTCAAAAGAGAAACGGAGATACAAATGCGAGTGCACACACACACTAGCCTAGTGAAAAATAAAGCACAAACAGATGCATGGAAAGCGACGGCATACCCAGAGCAACCCACAATAGCCGTAAGACTACACACTGTTGCATGTTCGTACCTTTCATTTTGTATTAATCTGCCGATATCTGATTTCTTTTTATCCGTCCGCTTGCTCGAAGTGCGGGATGCCGAACGTGACGCCACCTTCTTCTTTATCACAGGCATGAGCACATTGACGGGAGGTCGCTCGGGGACTTCATTGAGGTATACTTCATCCATCATACCTGGGAATAGAATGTGCGGGACATGAACTATCTGAAGCCAGACCAGTACGTGGGCGTTTTATAGTATCTGATGAATCACATTCTGGTAAGGAAACGAAACGGATTTAAAGGTCAATTTGACTCATCGTATTCACTCAGATGTGAGTGGCCATGTTTGGTAAATTCGTCCGTGAAGGGTTCGAAATCTTGTAGCCAAAAATTAAGATTTCTGGGTCTCAAATTTTCGATAGTCACAAATTCTAACAAGGGATATGTACATATGCGAGCGTCCTGATGTAAACAACCCAACGAGGAAGTATTTCAAGTAGCAATTTTACAAAGGGAGTACACAAATCGTAGGAAAAACAGTGGAGCCAAAGACCAATATGTGTTCGACCCCGACATTCATCGGACAGTAGACTACTACATACATGATGGCCTACAGTGAGTAAAAAAACACATCAGGATTTGCTGATCCGTCCCCTGAGTAGTTAAACGTATATTTCAATCTTGCAAGCAAAAACGTTTCCCGCCCTTCGTATGCGGCATTGAACTCAAAAAACATATCTTACGGATAAAGAGTGCACTATACCAAAACAAGATCACTCTATATAAATCAAGGACGATAAGCTAAAACCCTAAAACATATCTTACCGATAAAGAGTGCACTATACTAAAACAGGATCACTCTATATAAATCAAGGACGATAAGCTAAAACCCTAAAACATATCTTTCCGATAGAGAATGCAATATAGTCAAAAAAGGCACTCTATATAAATCAAGGACGATAATCTAAAACCCTAAAACATATCTTACCCTTAAAGAGTGCACTATACTAAAACAGGTTCACCCTATATAAGTCAAAGACGATAAGCTAAAACCCTAAAAGCCTGTCGTCTATCATGCGACCAACACAATCAGTATCGATATTCTTACCCGCCGCTAGCTGAGCATATGCACATAATAGTTATGCAGGCGGTGAACGCATTTGAACAGTTACATGTATATTAATGTCCATAGACCATATATGTACAGCTACATGTACATTAATGACCATAGACC